GGTGGCTCTCATTCTTTTTCTGATGAGAAATGTTCTGTGGAGAGGGCAAAAAATGGGGGGTCAAGGAGGGGCGGGGCAGGGAATAAGAAAAGTCTCTATTGTCATCTGAAGAATGCTAGAGGATATGCCTTTGTGCAAGTATAGTGTTGGCTTGAAGAGCCTATAGGTCCTTGGTTCAAGCTGCATGGTATCCCCATTGACGTTTCAGCTTGTTACAAGAGCTTTTTGTTTTTATATAAAAATCAATATGTCACTTTTCTGTCAGAGGTGGCCAGCCCCCAATTTGTTCAGAAATATATCACCCTTTTGGAGTAATACCATAAAATATATATCAATGGAAAGATAATTTAATGAAGAATGTAATGCAACCAAGTTTGTTCCATTATCTGTATTCTATCAAAAGTTATGGCCAAATAACCAGAAAAAGGAAGCGTTAGGTTGAGATGCAGTAGCTTTCTTTCATTTGAATGTAGCCAATGAACAAGAGTGTTTAGAGAGCCAATCAGGTGTTAAAGGTAAAGGTAAAGGGACCCCTGACCATTAGGTCCAGTCGTGACCGACTCTGGGGTTGCGGCGCTCATCTCGCTTTATTGGCCAAGGGAGCTGGCGTACAGCTTCCGGGTCATGTGGCCAGCATGACTAAGCCGCTTCTGGCGAACCAGAGCAGCGCACGGAAACGCTGTTTACCTTCCCACTGGAGTGGTACCTATTTATCTACTTTGACGTGCTTTTGAACTGCTAGGCTGGCAGGAGCAGGGACCGAGCAACGGGAGCTCACCCCATCGCAGGGATTCGAACCACCGACCTTCTGATCGGCAAGTCCTAGGCTCTGTGGTTTAACCCACAGTGCCACCATCAAACCTCAGAAACACACTTTTCCCAAAAGGTTTCCACAATTTTGGCCACTAGTGTATGCAGGAATCCCGGAATGTTGTATAAAGCACAGATGAAGTTCTGGGATTCCCTCATATATTTCTGAAGCCTTGGCGGGATTTGTATCCATGTAAACCTGCTTGGGACCATGCTGTTAAAGCTACGAATGAATGAAGCACATTATAGTGAGACTAAAGTTCTGCTCCGAGTGTGTTAAGGGAGATTATTGGTCAGCACAGGGGGACGGCATTGTCATTGTTTATGGCGCAGCTGTTGGAGATGGCTGTGTCGGTATCTGTAGCATGTTGATGTGCAGAGTGCAAAAATGAATCTTATTTCTCAGGAGAGCCCTGCATATGTCAAGTATATTGTCTCATTAAGCCAATCCATTTATCAACCCACTGAATGCCAATTAAATTGCACAGGATGGTGCAGGTATATGGTGGGCTGTTGGTGCCAAACTTGATTACAGCGGAGATTTTCTGGCTCAGCACATGGAGGCGCAGCAAAATGGCAGGCCCTCCTCACCAGCCAAACGCGACATTCCCGAAACCGACCCTTTAAAATAGGAGGACAAGGAAAGGAGCCTCGTCGAAAGAGATGGGAATGCAACATCGCCGTTCTCGGTGTGCATTTCATTCCGATGAAGATGTCAAGGCTCGCATGCAGCCCATGCCAAATGGCTTCACAGCGTGCAAATTAGATCAGTGTAATTTCATCAGGCCCAGCGCCGGAGTTGCCTGTAGCTCTGCGGCTAGTTTTTTCACAGCTCCTGCTGCAGACAGCCATCACACAGCTGAGCTAATGTTGTCCTCCACTGAAAGGGACAGACATTGGTTTTATATTGCTCTCTCCATGCCAAGGTTAAAAAAGAAAAGAAAAGAAAGAAAGACATTGCCAAGTCCACTGCCTAAAATGTCTGCATTGTTAATGCCAGCTCTATAAACCAGATAGTTCCATCCGCGGAACATCAATCCAGAGTCTACAACCACAGTACAATTTGTTAAAAAAAGTTTCTGTGTCTCATTTTGTCTTGGCATACTTCATTTGAAGTAGAGGGGCACTCAGTGCCAGAAAACATTATGCAGGAAAGGGGGATGCGCCTGTACTCTCTGTCCAAACTCATCCAAAGACGCAATTGCGACACAGCAGATGTTGCAGGACAGTCCAGCAAACCCAAGTTCAAAGGCAATAGAATTATGTCCATTTCCAGCAGTAGATGGCAGGGTGTGGGGAAGAGGCAGGCCAGTCGCTGCTGTTTACTAGGAGAGGCAGAGTGGCCTGGCAACTGGGAGGGTGCTGTGGTGCAAACGCTCCAGCAGGAGTGCCAGATCGGCTTGGGAAATGGGAAGTGACATCATCAAATTTTGCCACTCATGATCAACCCCATTAGGCTGCCGTTTGGTGCTTGTAGCGGAGAAACTCTTGTGGGTGAGGATGGCATTACCATTACTGTAATATATTTATTATATATATTATGTGGAACACCCTCTCATTGGATGTCAAGGAGGTAAGCAGGGCCGGATTTAGGTTTGATGAGGCCCTAAACTACTGAAGGTAATGGGGCCCTTTATGGGGTCCAGCTGTCCTTTGTCAACAACAAATTGTTGCTGGTTTTTGTGTTCAATATATGCTATGTATATGGTAATTTATGGACCTAATAGGTGTCATAGGAGCCCACTCAACACAAAACACTGTTGCTGTATGCAAGTTTTATTTTATTTGTTTTTTATCTTATATTTTGGAAATGGACATCCAGATTTTTCCCCCCTGTAAATTTTTTTGGGGGTCCCAAGAGAGTGGGGCCCTGAGCTATAGCTTGTTTAGCTTATACATAAATATGGCACTGGAGATAAGTAACTGTGTAACTTTTAGAAGACATCTGAAGGCAGCCCTGTAGAGGGAAGTATTTAATATTTGATGTTTTGTTGTGTTCTTATATCTGTTGGAAGCGGCCCAAAGTGGCTGGGGCAATCCAGTCAGATGGGTGGGGTATTATTATTATTTCCCTCTGTGATACCTGGGGGGGAAGAAAGGAGAGACAAGCAGTTTCCTGCTTCCAACAATTGTGCTGTATCATAGTGTCGTGGCAGCATCTTCTACTGACAAGCTCATCCCAAGAAATCCCATTTCAAGGATAGTAATCACCATTACAAAATATCAGAGCGGCAACAAAACACGCTCACCTTTTTTACCCCTGGCTCTCTGCACTAAAGTAGCTTGATTACGTTGACAAGCAGACAAGCGTTTGTCAAGGACTGTTTTACACTGGCAACATTTATTTCACTGGCTTCATCCCAGGCTTATTTATTTAGTTATTTACTTAACCCTTTCCAGTTAAAGAGCCAGCACCTCACGTAAGGGATGCTTTCAGATGCAGCTATTCGAAAGGAGTCCGTTTTCTCCGTCTGCATCTCTCCTCCTGCACCTCGCTCCGACAATGGGGTTAGCACCTAAGGCCTTTCTTCAGGCACGCTGGACCCCAGATGCCAAGCTCTGGAAGACTCCAGCAACAACATCTGGTTACTTTGTGAGCTGCATAGGCAGTTGTGCTCATAGATCTGGAATTGCCTCTGGGCATGTCACATGAGGAGACTGTTAATCTGATATTTGTGGGGGGGGGCACTCCCTTTCTCCTTTTGGAAATGTCTTTCTTCTGCTCACCTTCTGATTAGTCAAATAGGCATTTTGCCTGGCATGTTAGGGGCAGTCCGGTAGAAATCCTTTGTTTGCAATGGACATTCTAACACAATAGCTATTGCCTTTATCACTGAAAGAAGCAACAGTCACAAGCCTTGCTTTTAGTGTGTAGTGTTATTTTTTATTAGGGTTTGGGTGCGGGGAAGGCAAAACATTTTTCTAAATTGCTTTTTCCCAGGTAACTGTTGTTCTAGCATGTTTGATAATTGTGGTAGGGTGTAACAAAGGCAAATTTGTTGTTTTCAAGTGCTTGGTATGATGATGACAAAAGCAGCTGAGGGTGGCATTCATTTTTAACTCAAAGCAAACCCACTGAAATTAATTAACATGACTAAGTTAGGTCCATTAATTTCAGTAGGTCAACTCTGAGTAAATCTTAGTTGAGTAAACTTAGATTTACAGCACAAGAGACATGTAGAAATAAATAACCTGCACTTTTTGATTCTCCTGCGTCTTCTGATTTCTGTGTGCACATGCATGGCAAAATGTTCTCAGCCTTGTCAGCTGAGCAACTGCTTTCATACTCCCTGATCAGTTTACTGCTAAGTCAGGTGAGGGTAGCCACTGGGTCTCAAACCCTCAGTGAGTTAGGGACTTCCTCTGCATATGAAGACAGGCTCTGGTGAATGAGACCAAATAGTGAGTACAAGGTCAAGAAGGTGGTTTCTGCATGTGTTGTAGAGGGAAGTGAGGAGCAGATGGGGCTCATCAATCTGGAAAAGTAACCCTTCAAGGAGAAGGAAAACTCTGATCATAAGCCTCGGCTGCCTTGCAGGATATCTTCAGAAGAAGAAAAGACTAAGCAGCAAACTCTACACAAATCTGGAGTGGAGTCCCTAAGACGGTTGGATGGAGCCTTGTATATCTCCTTCTAGCAATTCCTGCAGCCAACTGGTTCCAAACACATTGCTCTGCTTTCCTTTGGACCACATCAGTGAGCAATACATTTGGCATCAGCTTGGCCACCCCCAGGAAAAGGTCCCACTGTATAAGCCTGGGATTCACCAGGCAAAAAGTTTTGAAGTCAGGGTGAAACTGGCTTTTGGGAAACTGCAGAAACCAGTAGATTGTGGGTAACGCCACGTGTACACAGATTCAAAGAACATGGGTGAAAACTTTGTTTTCATTGTCAGATTAATTCATCTATTCCCTTTGAGGACTTATGTCAACTGCCTGATTTATAATGTTTTATATTTCTTCTGGATATTCTGTCTCAGAAGATAGCCACCTTAGAACAGTTCCACCACATATGATGACACTCCCCAATATATTTTTTTAAACCTCTGCAACAAAGTGGAGAAATATCATGCGCAATATGGCACAACTCACATTACACGTGTCACCTGTTCAGCATAATTGGCTTCTTCCTCATTTCATGTAGTAGTTTAAGAGTAAACATCAGAGCATGTATCCAAAAATTTATTTTTATCCATAAGAAGTCTAATTAATTGCAGTACTTTTGAAACACAGTTCATCACATGCCATCTTTATAGCACAGATCTCTTGCAATATTTAGCACATTTTTTAGCACGCTGGCACATTTATTTTCCCTGTTGGATCTCTTTCCAATCATTTGCTTGCCTGTTTTGAAGCAACAGACCCTATTCAGATATACTTCCTTAGTGGTCTTGATCAATTGTTTAAACCAATTCTCTGTATCTCCTGGATGATTTTGGCAAGGTCAATTGCCAATTCTGCAGCCTGGATGTCGCCATAAGATGTGGTGATGGCCAAGGATCAAGATAGAAGAATTTGACAAATTAATAGGAGACCAATCCATCAAAGGCTGCTCACCATAACAGCTCAATTTGTCCTCCATCTTGAAAGGCAATATACCCCTCTGAGCAGTGGAGAAGACATGAGAAAAATCATCATCATCATTTTTAATTTGTATACCTCCTTTCTATCTTACAATACTCAAGGTGGTTTACAAGCTGAAGAAACAAAAAATGTACATCTTATAACCATCTAATGCAATACAAAAATGTGATAATAAAACATAACTTTAAAATAGGAAACCTCCATCAAAAAAGTAACATTCAACAATCATTAGAATAGTGTAAAATAATAATAACATATAAAAGTTAAACAGAAATCCACTCAACAGTTACAATAATATCTAAACTATAATCAATAAAACAACGGCAAGCCACAGTAGATAAAACAATACAATACATATTGAGAAGCAGAGGGTAGAGCGAGGCAGCGGGAAGGAGGCCTTGCCTGATGGAGTATCTCCCCTCACAGTTCTTCCTCCAGGGACAGCTCCCTTATGAGGACTCCTAGGGCCGGAGGGTGGGGCAAGGCAGGTGGAAGGACCCCTTGCCTGATGGAGTCTCTCCCTCCTCTAAACACTCAATGGCCTCACCAATGTACCTTTCTTATGAATTTCCACAAGAATCTGTCTGGCCACCAGGTAACAGAATAGGTGGGGAACCTGTGGCAGCCTAGATGTTGTTGGATTCCAGCTCTCATCATCCCTGACTGCTCATCTAGAACTGATGAGAATCAGAGTCCAACAACAAGTAGAAAGCCACAGGTTTACCATCCCTGGTCTTAACAAATCCTGTGCTGACCCAGCAAGACAGTTCTTAGGTTGTATGGCTATGGTGTGCTATGCTCCTAGGTGTGATAAGACCACATATCAAAATCTGGTAAAAACTGACAAGTGTGTGCCATGCTTTGAAAGAGAAGGGATATTTACTCTGTTGTGTATACAGTGGTACCTCGGGTTACATACGCTTCAGGTTACAGACTCTGCTAACCCAGAAATAGTGCTTCAGGTTAAGAACTTTGCTTCAGGTTGAGAACAGAAATCGTGCTCCGGCGGCGTGGCGGCAGCAGGAGGCCCCATTAGCTAAAGTGGTGCTTCAGGTTAAGAACAGTTTCAGGTTAAGTACAGACCTCCGGAACGAATTAAGTACTTAACCCAAGGTACCACTGTATTTTCATAAGTGAATGAGAACAGCTGTCTTGAATCCAGGAACAACTACCTCCAGCTTATACCAACGGGGTGATTTTCATTGACCTGGGCAGGCTCTACTGAAAAGAACCTGCATGCTTAATAAAGGAAACTTTTTGGCAGGCTGGGAAGTACAAGACAGCTCAGCAAACAGCAGGTGGGAAGAGTGCCTTGGTAAATGCGGCTTAAATCCAAGGAACTATTGTAGCCTTGATCAACGTAATGCCCTCTTTTTAATTAATACCATCTGTAGAGCACAGCTAACTAATTAGGCTCTGGGGCATTTGATGGAGGAAATCTAGTATGCCCCATTTTGCGTGGGCCTTGAGCTGGCGTATCTTACTATACTAGGGGTACTGGAAAGGAAAAACAACAGCAGCAAAACCATGCTTTAAAACAAAGAGAAAGAGGGAACAAATGTCTGGAGCAAACCTCCAGTCTTTACTGACTAACCTTTCCAATAATATAAATCGGAGCACCTAAGGACAGCCCCATCAAATGCTTTATGAAATAATCTATTTCCCCCAAGCTGAACTAGCGTCCTCTGTCTTGCCTTGTCTCATTAAAGTATAATCTCGCTGAGACTGGGAGTTTGTCCTCACTGTAATTTGTTCCAGGTTGGGTTGTTGTGGCTTTGCAAAAATGTTTGGGAAGAATCCACGTGTCCCTGTAGCATCCGAAAGGAGTCAGGGATCAGGCCATAATTCAAGGGTGCACACGCACACATTTTATTCTAGAATCAATGGAGATTGGGTACTTGTTTTTTCTATGTAGCCCACACATAATCAAGATCAATTGCATATATTTTTTTGCCCCTGAAGGCACTTCTTGGGAAACGAGTTTGATTCTGAAAATAAAAGCTAATTGCAGATTGATTGTGTACGGTGTGTCCATTTGGAAACAGGGGAAGACAGATATAGGTCATCCTGGCAATGGTGTGTGTGTGTGTGTGCGTGTGCGTGCGTGTGCCTTCATGCCTGACCAATGATGTTGTGAGTTGGCATGTACCAAGATCGCAATCACAATTTCCTTCTTTGTTCACCTGGTGCATGTGGAGGGAAGAAAAGGTGTGGATAACCTAATCAAGGGAAAGCTTTCCAAATGTGTATCAGGTAACTACAAGCACCCTTGTGGACAGCAGGACTTAGAATGTCTAAATTGAAAACAGCATGTTGAGGCTCCCTTATATTGAAAGCCAACAGAGGCAGGGGCGGGCTTGATTCTCTTATTATGGATGCCTTATTAGGATAAGATTACCATACGTCCCCGTTTCCCAGGGACAGTCCCCAGATTTACAAATCAGTCCCCTGACAAAATCCATCTATTTAGTAGGAAGTAGAAAAGTGTCCCCTGATTCATTGAAAAGAATCTGGTAACCTTATATTAAGAGAGTGGTTAGTACATGGATCACCCCACATTCATACTGCTGTCACAAGGAAAAAGTGTTGTCAGGAAAAAAAGGGCAGCAGAATTTCCCTTCCCCTAGAGAACAACATCTGCTCAGTGATGAAGTACTGCTATTTCCTTTCTGAAATAAATTTATGTAAACGTCTTTGCTTAGCGTTTTTGACAAAATTGCATCCACACTGGGAAATTACCCAGTTTCACAAGCATTGTGGTTTGAGGCAGTGCTGAATGAAGTTCAAGCATGCCATGCAGGACCTCGCTGGAACAATGGGAGTTGCATGTTGCATCTATAGTAAAATATACGTGAATAGTTTCTTGTGCAATTCCCCTTCAATGAAAGCAGAAGTAAAAGGACGAAAAGCCACACTGTGTTTCTTTCCAAATTTGGAAAATACCAGCAGCCTCTTCACTGCTGTTTCATTTTTCAGCTTAACCCTTCTTAAACCTCAGCTCTTGCAAATGTGTTGATTATACATGCTAGTTCAGAAAATTTCATACCAGGGTTAGTTTCCCAAACCATAGGGGGACATCAGAGAAGACGGAAGAAACTTAATGCCCACAGCTGGAGACGCATAGACTGAATAGATAGATGATAGATAAATAGATAGATGATAGATAGATAGATAGATGATAGATAGATAGATAGATAGATAGATAGATATAGATATAGAGCCAATATAGTTTGATGATTATATTTGGTAAATATTGTTTAAGAGGGAGGCAGGGGACAGATCTCAAACATTTGATTCGTGGCAAATTGGGATAAGAGAGTATCATTTACATAGTCCCTTGCTTGGAAGTATATAGGTTACATTTGCAAATCCACTTTGCAGAGGTAAGAAAAGGACTGAAGAAATGGTGAGAATGTATGTAGGGATGAAAGAATGCATAATTTTTCCATTCTGCTATGTATTTGTCACATGCGTCATTGTTTCCATTCTGCTGCAGTTTGTTTGCTTTATTTATTGTTTTAGTTTTATTCACAGATTTGACATCCAATATTGTTGCAGTATGGTGAAGGCTTCCTAAAATATTCTTTCTCTGCTACTAGGTTTGTTCCCAAACCTCACTAAGACCTGTGGAATAGACAGTAAATACCTCTTACCTGCTGCAGGAAGAAGAATGGGTTGCCTTTCTGTCTATCACTCCCCACTGATTCATTTAAGTAGCTACAGCCTTCTCTGCCCCAGGATCATCCAGGTAATCTGGAGTAATAAAAATAATATTAATAATAATTTTATAGGCAACAGAAAGAGCTTCTTAACACAGCACATAATTAGTATATGGAATTTGCTGCCACAAAGTTGGGTGATAGTTATCGACCGCTGTGTTCAGAGACAGCATCCTGCTAAATATTAGTTGCACCAGCAGCCTGAAATTGCCACTGCTTTACCCCAGTCACAGTGCCATGCAGGAAATCTGCAGCAATACTAGTGTTGCTATAAGGATAATCTAATACTAGCCCAACCCCCTGCAATGCTGGAATCTTTCACCCAAAGTGGGGCTCAAACCTACAACCCTGAAATTAAAATTTTCATGCTCTGGTCTAGCAGCTCCTATGCAGCTGGAATAATATTTCATTGAACCAAACACTGGCGATGGGGCACATAGGTGTGTGTGGAGAATACTGAGGTATTTCCCAAACTTTCACAGACTTTGAAGGCTCTGGACTTTGAAGAATAGTTTTGCAGAAGATCTTCACAAGCGATTGGTCAACAGTCCTTTTTATTATGCATCGGATCTAACCCCAAACACACTGATGAATGAGGTGGCAAATCTCAATTTTATGACTAAAAAGAAGAAGAAAGAGCTAAATCCAATAACTGGCAATTTCTTGCCTTTTATCTGCATTCCTATTCACTCTGATTTATTATATTCTCAGGCCTGTTACACATTTTATCACGTCTGTAAAATACCTGTAAGTTTAAAATAAAAGAGCATGCATCTTGGAAAGGCAGCAAAAGGAGAGAATATAAATGAGGGAGTTGGAATCATACTGGGGGGAAACGTCGCTTCATTAGGAAACTACAGAATAGAGTATTAGTGTGTGGATGTTAAAATCCAATAACCCAGAAGAGAATTGAAAATGTATTTTTCAATCATGTGCACAGAAGTGCTTGCTGTTTTCCCCATCACGTTCTGCAATTTGCAAAGCTTCTCTCTTGACTTTCATAATCCCATCTTCTAGTATCTGATGTTGCCATTTACTTTTCATCATAGGAGCCAACTCCTAGGGCCCAAAGCCCCTTCAGCCCCCCATAAAATATTTTAGGGGGCCACCCCCCAAAAAAAGTTGATGGATGTTGCTATTCAAATGGTCTGCGTGTTCCACATCTTGTGATCAATTGTGCAAGGCAGTGCTTACCTGCCCTCCCCCAATATTTTATTCAAGTTGGCACCCCTGCTTCTCATGAGATAGTCAGGAACAGGTATCCTTCATCTTCATCACCACCATCATCATCAGTATTATGGAACAACGTATATGAAAACTCCATTCTGCAGACCCCCTGATTCATGTGAACAGCGTTAATACAAATAAGTCACACTAACAGGTTGATGCCAGTAGAAAAGAGCTAGCTCCCCACCCCCATTTCACAAACCACAGACACATTTTAAAAACTCATTGTTTGGTTAAATACCATGGCTAAAGTTTCTGGGTGTGTTTGTATCAAAAATGTAGAAATGAAAGAGGAAGTGAAGCATCACTGAAGGTTACTGTGTAAGCACTTTCAGAAAGGATCAGTGCTCAAACATGCTTTTTTCCTTTCCTTTCTAAAAATTGCATAACTCAGATTCATCTATGAAATTAAATCCCTACAAGCTAGTTTCAAACTTTTACTACGCACACTGAGAGAAGGGAGGGGGGAAAGGCATATAACATCATACAAATATGAGCATTATCACCTTATATTCACGTTTGTGGTTTAGCATGATATATGGCAGCCTTTCCAAACCTGGGGTCCCCTGATGTTGTTAGACTACAACTCCCATCACCCCTAGCTAGCAGGACCGGTGCTGAGGGATGATGGGAGCTGTAGTCCAAAAAATCTGGGAACGCAAGGCTGATATATGCTATAAGCTGTTTTAGCGCAGGGATAGAGAATTTGGGCCTTCCAGATGTTGCTAGACTGCTACTCCCATCGCCCCGTGGCATAGCGTGGGTTGCCAGTGCCTGGGGCCATGCGGAGTGTGGAAGGGAAACAAATGGAGTACACATGTGCATTCAACTGCCTAACAGCATCCACATTACAGCTGCAGAGATAAGAAGAGTCGTTCCGTTGTCTGGAGAGGTCACTTCCTGGTTTGCAGGGAGAAGCTGTTTTCAATGGAGCCCAGTGCCAGAAGCACACAGGTGTATTAAGGCAGCACCGGGCATGGAAATTTGGTGCCCCTAACAATTTTACACCCAGGGCAACCACCCCTGTGTCCCTCTAACGCCACGCCACTACCATTGCCCCTGACCACTGACCATGCTTGCTGGGGTAGATGAAAGTTTGAGCCCAGCAAAATATGGAGGACGTCACATTGGCCGGCCCTAGCTTGGTGTTACGCCAATAGTCTTTCCTTAAGGGATTCCTTCATACTGGCAGCCGGCCGCTTCCCATGCAGCAGTAGTGTGTCTGTGAATGACACAACCACACAAGTGATGGATCTGGGTTGCTGATGGTCCCCCACCCACCTTTTCTCAGTTTGCACATTTACCGCACCACATGAGGCAACATCACAGGGATGCAGTTGCAATGCAGCTGGGTGGATGTGTGAAGGGTGGGGAACATTTCCTCACCAGGGCTGTGCATTTACAGCTATGCATATGGAAAGAACTACTGAACTCAAGTTAGGGCCGTGGGAACCTTACAGCAATTTCCCCTTTGATGATGGCTTGCTGGGTGAATTCAGATGATGCATTGATTGATGACTGTATTTTAATATTTTGTTGGAAGCCGCCCAGAGTGGCTGGGGAAGCCCAGCCAGATGGGTGGGGTATATATAATAAATTATTATTATTATGATTGATTGATTTGTATTTGTATCCTGCCTCTCCTCAAGGTGGCATGCATGGTTCTTGCCCGCCAGTGGCGTAGCGTGGGGGGTGCAGGGGGAGCCGGCCGCACTGGGCGCAACATCTGGGGGGGGCGCGCTCGCACTCGCAGCTCTCTGCCCCCTGCTAAAATCCACAGGTTAGGGGGTGCAAATTACTTGCCTTGCCCCGGGTGCTGACAACCCACGCTACGCCACTGTTGCCCGCTGTATCCTCACAGCAACCCTGTGAGGTACATCAGGCTGAGAAATAGCGACTGGCTCAAGGTCAGATGGTGAGATTCATAGCAGAGTGGGGATTTTAACCTGAGTCTGTCCTCATCCTAATTCAGCACCCACAGGAGCCAATTTATTGGGGGGGGGGCATTGAAAGCTGTTGCTCAGCGGAGGCGGCTGCAAACATTTTGCCATGCATCTGCACAGAGAAATTGGAAGATGTAGGAGAATTTTAAAAATGCTTCTCACTTCTTGGCAGCCTACTGCTGCTTTTATCTAGTTGTTAGATTACAAATTCTCTGCGCAAAATTACTGCTTGGTGATGGTAAGGTTGGTTCTCAGGCACTATGAAACCCGAATTCTCCATTTCAGATTTGTTCCTTTTTATGAAAGCAATCTCACATTTAGTTCTGTGATGCCACCCCACCTTTCCTTACTTGCTGTATACGAAGCCCAACATCTTTGAAAATTAGGCAGGACTTTTGCAAAACACATGCAGTTAAGACGAATGTAAATAAAGATGCAATGGGGTTTCTGTGTGTCTGCCTTTTTTCAAAGCATAAAAGGTAAAGGGACCTCTGACCATTAGGTCCAGTCGTGGACGACTCTGGGGTTGCAGCGCTCATCTCTCTTTATTGGCCGAGGGAGCCAGCGTACAGCTTCTGGGTCATGTGGCCAGCATGACTAAGCTGCTTCTGGCCAACCAGAGCAGCGCACAGAAACGCCGTTTACCTTCCCGCCGGAGCGGTACCTATTTATCTACTTGCACTTTGACGTGCTTTCGAACTGCTAGGTTGGCAGGAGCAGGGACCAAGCAACCGGAGCTCACCCCGTCGCAGGGATTCGAACCGCCGACCTTCTGATCGGCAAGTCCTAGGCCCTGTGGTTTAGACCACAGCTGTTTTTAGGATAGTTCAGTAGTAGCACGCTCCAACTCCAGAATATGTGATAGATTACATCTCAGCAAAATGCCCCCACCTCAAAAACAAAGCAAAAGTTGGCTAACTTTTTATGCATTGTCTTGATACAGTAACTTAAAAAAAAAATTGCTTCTGCTAGCATCAGAAATAGACAGCATTGGCCACAATTTTTTATCACTAAGAACTGGGGTTGAGGCTCTTGTTACCCTGATATCACAGTGCCTCCTGTTGGGAGAGAATATCCTTTACCTTTCTACAGTACTTCTTGTAAACACAAGATTCTTTTCGCTATAGATGCTGCACTAAAAGAACCATCTACCATTGCTCCTTCATGCTTCATCATGGGAACTGGGAGCTGTTGAACGGGAGTCTCTGACACAGCTGCTGCTGCTGCAGCAGCACTACTCAAAAGGTTGTGGAGAGCAGTGCTAAATTACCGGGTCCCTTCCAGCTCAGCTGGTAAGAGCGTGAGACTCTTAACCTCAGAGCTGCGGGTTCGAGGCCCAGGTCGGTCAGAAGAGCCCTGCATTGCAAGAGGTTGGACTAGATGACCGTGGGGTCATCTCCCAGCTCTACAATTCTATATGAAACTTTGAGAGCGTCTGTCTCACGTGGGTTTCCCTCCGCCCCTTCCCTTATTTCCCACGCTTCTTCCCCCCAGTGTCTTCTTCTTCTGCGGGGCTATTTCCTGCAGCTCCCCCCCTCCCCTGCGCCCCACTCCTCGTTTCAGCCAATGACTGCCCCTTCCTTCGGGTCGGTCGCTTGTCTCCCAAGCCCCGTCTGCGGCCAAGCTCCCCTCTCTCACCCCCCCCCCGACTCGCATCCGCATTCCGAGCATCTGCTAATTGGTCGCAGCTGGCGGGACAACACCCCAGCCACTCTCGGGTAGCGCCCCCTACAGCATTTCGCAGGCAGCCGCGCTCCCCCCCGTCCCCATATCAGCTGCAATAGCGACAGGCAGGCCGCCCTGCGCGCTCCGCTTAACTTTTCCCGCCTCGCCCATATACACAGCCCAGCCAGCCGTCGAGCGGCGCCGAGGAGAGTTCCCGCCCCGTTTTGACTTTGAGGGAGTCTTTCCCAGTTTGCTAAGGGGGGAAAGCAAATCCATTCTCTTGTCCTGCCTCAGCTGCCTCCCCTCCAAATATATTTTTTTAAAAAAACTGTGATGAGGGTTGCTTGGAGAGAGTCGGAAGAGGGCTTTCTTTCCTCGACGGGGGCTGCCCGGTTGCTTCTGCTCCTGGGCTGCTGCGCGATGGGCGGGCAGCCCTACAACCTGGACCCGCGGAGCGCGCTCGTCTTCCCGGGTCAGAACGGGACACTGTTCGGTTATTCGGTGCTGCTGCACAGCGTGGGAAGCAGCAGATGGTGAGTTAGGGAGGGTGGGCGTGGGAGGGTCTCTCCCTCCCTCTTCTTACGACGACCATCCTGGACGTGTCTCCTCGGAAGTTTAGGACTTCTGAATCCAGCAGGGTTTTACTCCCAGGTTCATAGAACTGTGGGAGTTGGAAGGGGTGTCGAGGGTCATCTAGTCTGACCCCGCACAATGCAGGGGTCTTTCTGCCCCTATGTGGGACTTGAACTCGCAACCCTGAGGTTAAGAGTCTGCTGCTCTATACTCTGAGCTGTCCAGGGTTAAGGACGGCACCGTTTCTTGGGGAGAAGTTTCTTCCATGGACTTCTGTTGTTGCATTTCGCCGATTTAAAATAACCGCTCGTGACAAGGTCGGAAAGTTTTAGGAATGCAGCGGTGGATTACCAAATAAGCAGGGTGGGCCTTTTGGGGGGGCCCACAACAAACGGATTGTGTAATAAAATTGGTTTATTCAAATGGTTAGCCGGTAAAATAAAATAAGTATTAGGAGTTAATTTGAAAAGGGGCCCCTGATATTTCAGCTGCCTAGGGGCCTCCGCAGGGTTTGTGATCTGGCACTGAGCAAATGTTGCGCCCCTTCTCCTCTCGCACCTTGTACTGAGGAGCCAAGAGCGTGTCTTGGTTGTGTTTTTCTCATAGGTCTCAAGCATGGACGTAGGCGGGGGGGGGGCAGCTGCCCCTCCAAAAAAATCAAGTAAATGAATAAAAATGCTTAACTAAAAGTAGAAATTATAGAAAAGTTTTTGCTGAGCAGTTGGAGTCAAAAGAGAATAATTTTAAACAACTGTTGTTGAGACATTGCATTCAGAATCTGCTAGACAGAGCCAGGCAAGGAAGAATGGTGGGTGGGTCACCCACCCTCCAAAATAAATCCTGGTCTCAAGCTATCCTTTGAGGTGCAGAATTTTTTCTGGCTTGCCCCCCCTCCAAATATAGGATCCCGGTAGACAGAGATGCTTCAGTGTTTCTCTGCACCATGTGGACTAGAGGCGCTAATTTTAAACTCGTACCTCCGTTGGTCCCCAAGGGGATTGTCACTGAGTCTGCAGTAGGTTGGATCCACTTGACGTTGGTTTAGCCTTGCTTTTCTTTTGCTTCCTTCCCCCAGGCTTGTAGTGGGAGCCCCGAAAGCCAGCTGGCTTGCAAACAGCTCCGTGGTGAATCCAGGAGCGGTTTTCCGATGCCAAATTGGGAATAATCCTGGGAGAGATTGCGAAATACTCCAATTGGGTGAGTGGAGGTGACCCTCTCAGTGACCTGGCCACTGTTGGCAGCCAAACGGGATGACCCCAGCTTTGGTGAAGCTCTTCGGAAATCCTTCCCGTATAACGCTGTTTCTTATTTCCATCTGTCCTCGCTCAGTAACGTCTCCAAAGTCCTGAAATGATAAAGGAGTTATTGAAGACTCATTTCTTTTTCTTTCTTCTCCTCCTCCCTGCTCCTGAGAAGGTAGGATGTCCGCTTGCCAGTTGTAATAGTGAGATCGGCACAAGACGAGTTTACTTTTCCACCTTAATTTATTTCATCAGTATTCAAAGATGATGGCTTTCCTTGCTGAATATGCAGAGAATGACGTGTCTCCCTTTTATGACACATCAGCTCTTAGTTTGTTTATATTCCTCTACATCCTTTTTTTTTAAAAAAAAGAAATAATTGCAGCTGATTAATTTAATGTTTGCATGCCACTTCCCCCAAGAAGGTGCCCGATGCCAATTAAAAATGGAGCTCAAGTAAGAGTGAGAGAACAACAAGCCGTGAAATCCTAAACATGTTTAATTGCAAGGCAGTCTCACCGCAATCGATGGGACTTGCTCTCTAGTTGTGTTCTTAAAAACCTTGAAAATGAAATAAAAGCCAGCAAGTCAAAACGCAGGTAATTATTTTGGATCAAGCAGCTGGGCATAACAGCATTCACAGGAAAAACAACAACATGCTATGGCCCGTGAAGAAGTGTAGAATTTGGCGTGCTTAAGCCCATTGAAATCAAAGGGGTTATGTTTACCTAGTTGCCTTTTAATGTGTCTGTTCTTAGAAGGGCTGACTCATTTAAAATTGCCAACCACCAAAATATCGTTTTTGTCTGTTTGCAGATGGAAAGTGAGTTTGCTGTTTTAAGACCGAGTTAGCTGTCCAGACTAAAAATGATACTTGAAAACCTAATGCATTGTGTGTTTCCCGCCTTTTGCTCCCAACACTCACGGAGCGCTTATTCATCATCTTGTGGAAGCCTAGCCTTTTAAGGCATTGTAGCAACAAGAGTCCAAGAACTTTGGAGCCAATGCCGTTTATAATGACAGTCACGGACGAGAGAAATGGGGAAACCCCATGTACTTCAAAGTGTGTGGGAAGAAGTGTTTAGATTGGAGAAAAATTCTCTTGCATAAATACATCCCATTCCTTGTGGATAGATTAGCTGAGGAATGCTGTCACATTGTAGTTTTGTAGAAAATGGAGTCATTCAAGAAAAAGGGTCACAGGGAGTGTTTTGGCTCCAGGCTTTTTACTGAATACAGTGCACTGTTGCAAACTTGCATGCTGGTGATTTGAAGACTAGCTGAAAGGTCTACTCTTCTTCTCCAGTTAAGGATTCCTTAACATCTCATGGCCACGACATCGAGTGGTAACATGCATGTGTGAAGGAACCAGTACAGAGAGAGACAGAGAGCTCAGGTGCAGTACTTTTCAGTGGAGCTGGTTCACAGATTTGCACAGCTTCCAATTTATGAAGCAAATAAGTTATATAAGTGGGACGATTGGCCATAGCTCATGCAGAAGTTCTTGGGTTCAATCGCCAACATCTTCAGCTAGGATTTGGAAGCCCAGAGGGTCCGAGTAGGCAATACTGAGCCAGATGGACCAATTATCTGACTTTGTATAAGGTAGGTTGCTATGATCCTGTGATGTGTGAAGCATTCCCAGAAAGAGACCATTTACTGAGGTAGGTTGAGGCACTGAGAGAATGCGCAAGCTTCTTAAGCATGGTGGTACTCTCTTTCCAAATGCTGCACCCTTGACATCAATTTTTGTTGTAACAGTAAAAGAGACCACCTTGAAATCCATGCGGCTGGAACAAAACCTTAACAGGTTATCCAGTGAAGGATAATCTTGTGATGTGTTGTGCCATGTATCCATGCAAGCAGATTTCTCTTCCACTTAAAATAAATCCCTGGGGACATTTTCGCTGCACTGCTGAGCAACAGCTCTCGTTCCTGTTTCTTGTTACTTGATGAATGGCAGCTGCAGCTGGGTGTGTGAATGGACTTCATACCATTCCTCTTGTCCAGATTCACTCTTGTATTGTTCTTCTGCACGTGCTGCCCACATGTTCAAAGTGCAGCGTTTTGATCCCTACTGACAGCCTCAGCCTGCCATGCTTACTCATGACTAGATCAGTTGTCAGTGGAAGGATGTTGTCCCACGTCATGTTAAGCAAGTTCCTTCTCCATACATATAATAATAATAATAGTTTATTATTTATACCCCACCCATCTGGCTGGGTTTCCCCAGCCACTCTGGGCGGCTTCCAACAAAATAGTAAAATACAGTGGTCTGTTAAACATTAAAAGCTTCCCTAAACAGGCTGGATTTCAAGATAGATTTCCCAGCCTGACGTCTTAAGGGTCAGACTAAGGTGTTCATATGTAAGCAGCAGAGACTTGTGTAAGCTGATCTAACTTGCCACTTGAACATAAAAGGCTGGGGAGAATACTCATATCCCTACTGCTTACAGGGCGCGCTCTCTTGCTCAAGCTCCTGGTGACATGCTTCTTTGCGATGCCTGTCCAGGAATGGTAGGGAAGCTGGTACTTCATTTTTGCAGGATCAAACTGAGAAACGTAGTGCTAGTCAGGGTCGCCACTGTGGATGTGGGGCTTCATTCCCTTTTGTTGTGTTCATGTCTCTGTCAATTCAGGCCCTGGGCTTCAGCAAGCCTCTGGACACAATGCTTTTGGTATGCCACCTTACTGAGTGAGCCTCCCTCTGCATCTATGCTTTTGCAACCAACTATTCATTTTTCAATAGACGATGTTGGACTCACCATTTCCCATCAGCTCCAGCCAGTGGGACCAAGAATGATGGACATTGTGTTGGCTATACCCCCGACTTGGCATCTTTGGGGTCCAGTCCTCACACTGCCCAGAGTGG